CAGCTTCTGTGAGGACTGCTGTATCCCAACACGTACCAGGGTGAACTTTAACAACAATAAGCCCTGGTTCTCAGCAAAGCTCAGAAGGTTGAGGTTGGAGAAGGAGGAAGCATTTAGGAGTGGAGATAGAGACAGATTCAAGGAGTCGAAGAACAGGTTTAGCAAAGCGGTGAGAGAGGCTAAACGACTGTACTCAGAGAGACTAAAACACCAGTTCTCTACAAAAGACGCTGCTTCTGTCTGGAGAGGGCTCAGGCAGATCACCAACTACAAACCCAGAGCCCCCCACACCACTAACTGACTCCCGCCTAGCCAACGACCTGAACGAGTTCTACTGTAGATTTGAAAGACAATTGGACTGTCCTGAACCACCCCTTCCGACCCAAGAGGCCCCATCCCCCACCAATACTACAGAGACGACTATCTCCCTTCAGGAGGGAGAAGTTAATATACTTTTCAAGAGGCAGAATCCACGCAAAGCAGCCGGGCCGGACTCTGTCTCTCCAGCCACCCTCAGGCACTGCGCTGACCAGCTGTCTCCGGTGTTCATCAACATCTTTAACACCTCCCTGGAGACATGCCATGTACCAGCCTGTCTCAAGTCCTCCACCATCATCCCTGTGCCCAAAAAGCTAAGGCCAACAGGACTAAATGATTACAGACCGGTCGCCCTTACATCTGTGGTAATGAAGTCTTTTGAGCGCCTGGTCCTGGCACACCTCAAAGCCATCACAGACCCTCTCCTGGACCCCCTTCAGTTTGCCTACAGAGCCAACAGGTCTGTGGACGATACAGTTAACATGGCCCTCCACTTCACCCTACAGCATCTGGATGCCCCAGCATCCTACGCCAGGATCCTGTTTGTGGACTTCAGCTCTGCCTTCAACACCATCATCCCTGCCCTGCTTCAGGACAAGCTCTTCCAGCTGAACGTGCCATACACCACCTGTAAATGGATCACAGACTTCCTGTCTGACAGGAAGCAGTGCGTTAAGCTGGGAACACAAGTCTCTGACTCCAGGTCCATCAGCACCGGAACTCCTCAGGGCTGCGTCCTTTCCCCTCTGCTCTTCTCCCTGTATACCAACAGCTGCACCTCCAATCATTTGTCCGTCAAACTATTGAAGTTTGCCGATGACACCACCCTCATTGGGCTGATCTCTGGTGGGGATGAGTCTGACTATAGGTGGGAAGCTGACAATCTGGTGACCTGGTGTAGCCAGAACAACTTAGAGCTAAATGCTCTAAAGACAGTTGAGATGGCTTGTGGACTTCAGGAAGAATACAGCACCACTCACCCCCATCGACCCTGTTAAACTCCCCAGTCAAAATTGTAGAGTCCTTCCGCTTCCTGGGCACTATTCTCTCCCGGGACCTCAAGTGAGAACTGAACATCAGCTCCCTCACCAAGAAGAGCTCAACAGAGGATGTACTTTCTACGGCAGCTGAAGAAATTCAACCTGCCAAAGACAATGATGGTGCAATTCTATACAGCGATCATTGAATCCATCCTCACCTCCTCCATAACCGTCTGGTACTGCCGCTGCCACTGCCATGGACAAGAGCAGACTGCAGCGTATCATCCACACTGCTGAGAAGGTAATTGCCTGCAATCTACCAACCCTCGAGGACCTGCACACGACAAAGTCCATGAGGCGAGCGAGGAAGATTATGGCCGATTTCTCCCACCCTGGACACTCTCTGTTTCAGCTACTCCCCTCCGGCAGAAGGATTCGGTCCATCAGGACCAAAACCTCACGCCATAAAAACAGTTTATTCCCATCTGCTGCTGGCCTGTTAAACAAGGCAAAGGGCTAACACTGTTTTTAACATTTGATCTACAGAACGACACCTTACCGATATTAACTATGTTACCCTATTTGTATTTTTGTATTTTTAAATTATATCTTAAAGCTATTTTATATTCGATATTTATTTAATTTTATATACTTCAGCCCCTTGGTGTTAGACTTTTAACCCTTATTATAGTAAGACTTGTTTAAAACTTATTTAAGATTTTAGATTCCTATATGTTGAATGTATGCACCATCCTGCCAAAGTAAATTCCGTGTCGATGTGAACTTACATGGCGAATAAAACCCTTTCTGATTCAAAACACTCATCCTTACTGACGTTGCTGGCTGGCATCTTAGCGCTCTTGAGGGTTGCAGCGATCTCAGATCTTGTCGCGTCTGCAGCCACGTGTCCCCAAACCCTTAAGAGCGACATGGACCTGGGCAACGATATGATCCGCTGGTTTGTGTTTGTGGTGACTACAAAGTTTAACCGTTAGCCAAAGCCGGCTTCAGACCGTTGCAAATAGGGCTATTACTCAAGATTAATAACAACCTCGTCAACGTCAAACTTTTTAACGTGTTGATCTGACTTCTTCTTGGAAAGGAGGTTGAACTTGGAAATCAGGTTATCTTTACATTCAGCTGACACGTTATCTACACGTTCCCAATCAGACGTAGACATTTTATTTCCCCCCCGTCATTGTTAAGTGCGATTTCCAGAGTGTCTCGTCCGCGTGATCTAGTTCAGCGCGTAGCAGTCTAATTCTCTCTTAGATCAGGGGCCAAGCTATAGGACCCTGAACAAGATTCGTTTGGCATTGGAAGACGTGATGTGTGGTGCCACCGGAGCGGGGCAGCTCGGCCTCCCCCCCCCCCACGAACGCACGCACGCCCCCACTAAACACTCGCATGCGCCCCCCTAGGGTCTCGAGGAGGAATCACGTGGTACGATGGGTTTTCACCCGAAGACCCCACTAGCAGGGATCACGTGGTACGATGGGTTTTCACCCGAGGACTCCGCTAGCAGGGATCACGTGGTACGATGGGTTTTCACCCGAGGACCCCGCTAGCAGGGATCACGTGGTACGATGGGTTTTCACCCGAGGACCCCACTAGCAGGGATCACGTGGTATGATGGGTTTTCACCCGAGGACTCCACTAGTAGGGATCACGTGGTACGATGGGTTTTCACCCGAAGACCCCACTAGCAGGGATCACGTGGTACGATGGGTTTTCACCCGAGGACCCCACTAGCGGGGACGTTCCACGGCTTCCCCGGACCAGGAAATTTTCCGAGCCCCCCCAGACAGGATTATGTGGCGCCCTCCCCCCACAAAAAGGAGGGCATAGAGCTTAGAGCTTTACAGGCCGGCCGCGATGAAGCATACACAACACGTGGGGGTGGTGGGAACTTCATCCAGCACCCAGCGTCAGAGTAAACAGCGGGCTGGGAGGGTTAAAGCAACAGGCCGATAATAAGTAGACACACAGAGAGAGACAATGGGGAGGGGGGTGGATGACGCGACCACCCCCTCCCCCCATCCCCAACGGCCAGAGCGCTCCTAACGGCCGTAAAGAGGATTCGATTGGATGCGCAGGATGATGTCACATGACCCGGGGGAGGGGGTGGGGAGGATTCGATTGGATGCGCGGGATGACGTCACATGACCCGGGGGGTGGGGTGGGGGGGATTCGATTGGATGCACAGGATGACGTCATATGACCCAGGGGGGTGGGGGGCAGGGTTAAGGGGCTTGGGACATATATAAGGGTGGTGCAGGAGGGAGAATTTGTGGCAGAGTCCTTCTGGAGCGGCGGCGGTGGCGGGGAGACAAGTTAGCCGTCCTCAGGGTCCGCGCTCGGGACGCCCGCAGGGTGGAGCTGAGAGCGATCGACGAGACAAAGTCCCCCAAGGCGAGAGAGAGAGAGAACATCTCCCTCGGCCCCGTCGGGCGGCAGCGGGAGCGGCCGCAGAGGTGAGCGGTGGACACGGACAAGGGAGGCCAGTTCGGTCGGCTCGGGCTCAGGCGGTAGACGCACTCTGAGACGGGTAGGTGAGAGAGGAGGAAGGGCTGCTGCTGGCTGGAGGGAGACATACACGGGAAATAAATTTTAGCACAGACTGACTTTGTGACGCGTGTGTGCGTGCGTGTGTGTGTGAAGAGCGGTTACGGCCTTCATAGGTGCTGCTCGCTAACAGCACTTGCCCCTACAGTCTGTTAAGGCTATATGGGGGATCTTTGTGAAGAGCGGTGGGACAGCGATCGGCGTACCACGCTGTGTGTGTGGGTGGCTTGAATCAGCATAGGCACCCGTAAATAAATAATTAAACAGAGGGACGTTTGACCTTCACCACGAGCGAGCGCGCAGAGATTAATTAATTGTTTACCGAGCGCGGGCAGATATTAATTAATTAATTGTTTACCGAGCGCGCGCAGAGATTAATTATTTATTTAATTGCTTGCCCGGCGCGTGCATATTAAACTCCCCTACTACGGCTGCCCGCACCCACGCGCGTGGGGCGGGGGGGGGGTCACGTGGGTGGGGGAGGGCCGTCCAGCGCCCGTTGGCTATTGACACAACGGCTTAGTATAAATAAATAATTAACTCTGAGCAGCCGCCAGCGGCGAGTGCGGGGGGGTGCTGACGTCACACCCCACCCGCTCGCGGGGGAGTGGGGAGGGGGAGATCAGCCCCCCCCCCCCACCTAATGGGGAGTGTGGAGGGGGGCACTAGCCCCCCACAGATGGAACCAGGGGGGTCGGTGTGTAAATGAGACCGGCGTTCCCTTTGAGAGTGGCTCACATCTCTTCAGGACATGCGAGCGACTCGATCGGGATGGGCTTTCTTGTGCTCGGGAGTTTGTTAAAAGATCTTCACGGCGACGTGGAAACGCTCCCCGTAGAGGCTTCACAGCTCTTGGGATTCTCCTCCTGCACGCTGAACACAACAGCAGCCTCCATCTGTCACGCGCCGGGGCTGTGGGCGGGGCTGTGGGTGTGGCTGTGGGCGGGGCTTGGGTGGGGCTGTGGGCGGGGCTGTGGGTGGGGCGGAGCCTGTGAGGGGCGGGGCTTTGTGGGGTAATGAGTGTGTGTGGAGTGTGACCTCTGTGGAGGAGGAGGTTCGTGAAGGACGCTGCTGCTGCTGCTGGGTAGTTGGAGGCAGTCGCCCTCCAACAACAACGAAGGGTGGAGGAGCGACGCTCACAACAACGAGCGGAGCGCCAGCTGGATAAAGCACAGCAGGTTGGCACAGTAGGGGGCACAGGTGGTGCATCAGCCACTCATCTCGGTCACCCGTGGCACCTGCTGGGTCTGCCCCGTGACCTCCTGCAAGCGGGCGTTCGACACTTCACGTGACTGCCTCAATGTGCACCTAGCCTGGCACAAGCGTCGTGGTGACGTCATGTTGTGTAGTGTGAGGCTGTGTGTGTGGTGTGAGGCTGTGTGTAGTGTGAGGCTGTGTGTGTGTAGTGTGAGGCTGTGCGTGTGTGGTGTGAGGCTGTGTGTAGTGTGAGGCTGTGTGTGTAGTGTAAGGCTGTGTGTGTAGTGTGAGGCTGTGTGTGGTGTGAGGCTGTGTGTGTGTAGTGTGAGGCTGTGTGTGTGTAGTGTGAGGCTGTGTGTGTTTAGTGTGAGGCTGTGTGTGTACTGTGAGGCTGTGTGTGTGTTGTGAGGCTGTGTGTAGTGTGAGGCTGTGTGTGGTGTGAGGCTGTGTGTGCAGTGTGAGGCTGTGTGTTGCCCTGGCTTGCCCTGGCTTGCCCCGGCAACGTCACGTGGTCTGCCTCGTCACTGCTGCTGCTGCCACCACAACACGCTTAGGGCTTTAAGGCTTTTCTGTTTATTATTAATCTGTCATTTTCCATGATTAGTCTGTGGTTTTAATTATTAATCAGTCATTGTTCATTATGAGTCTGTCATTAGTCTGTCATTTTTCATTATTAACCTAATTTGTGTGTATTATTAATCTGTCATTTTTCATTATTAACCTAATTTTTGTTTATTATTAATCTGTCATTTTACGACGGCAAAAACGTGGTAGTCACGGCGACATTTGTCATCAGTGTTGTGAGTAGCCCGCAGTGAGAGCACGACTACACACACACAGACATACACAGACACACAGGTTGTGTGTCTGTGTGTGTGTGTGGGGTGAGGTTGCACAAGAGACACACACACAGACACACAGAGACACACACAGAAACACAGGTTGTGGGTGTGGGGTGAGGTTGCACAAGAGACACACACAGACACACACAGAGACACACACAGACACACAGGTTGTGTGTGTGGGGTGAGGTTGCACAAGAGACGCACACACAGACACACACAGAGACACACACAGACACACAGGTTGTGTGTGTGTGTGGGGTAAGGTTGCACCACAGACACACACAGAGACACAGACACACACAGACACACACAGACACACAGAGGTGGTTGTGTGTGTGGGGTGAGGTTGCACCAGAGACACACATGCACAGACACACACACAGACACACACACAGACACACAGAGAGACACACACACAGACACACAGAGGTTGTTGTGTGTGTGTGTGGGGTGAGGTTGCACCAGAGACACACACACAGACACACACAGACACACACACAGATACACACACAGACACACAGAGAGACACACACACAGACACACAGAGGTTGTTGTGTGTATGTGTGGGGTAAGGTTGCACCAAAGACACACACAGACACACACACAGAGACACAGGTTGTTGTGTGTGTGTGTCTGTGTGTGTGTGTCTGTGTGTATCTGTGTTTGTGTATCTGTGTGTGTGTCTGTGTGTGTGTGTCTGTGTGTGTGTCTGTGTGTGTGTGTGTGTGTCTCTCTGTGTGTGGGGAGCGATAGTGTAGCGGTTAGCGCGCTGCGCTATGAACCTGGCGACCCGGGTTCGATTCCCGCTCACGGCCAACACCAGTGACGATTATCTGAACCGGTCCCGGGCCTCCCCTAGGTCGACTCAGCCTCAAATGAGTACCTGGTGCGGTGTGTAAACATTGCCACTAGGGAGACAAAGGCGGTCGGGCGTGGTGCTGGCCACCCACCCCCTCGTGTACCGTTCCGGCCTTCATAGGTGCTCGCTAACAGCACTTGCCCCAACAGTCTGTCAAGGCTATACGGGGGATCTTTGTCTTTGTCTTTGTCTCTGTGTGTGTGTGTGTGTCTGTGTGTGTGTGTATGTGTGTGTGTCTCTGTGTGTCTGTACGTGTCTGTCTCTGTGTGTGTGTTAAGGTTGCACCATGTCGAGCCCATTGAAGCTGATCGTGAGCGCCGATTCCAACCGTGGGGGGCGGCGCTACATGGAGAACATCACAGAGGTGGGCGGAGTCTCTGTGTGTGTGTGTCTGTGTGTCTGTGTGTGTGTGTCTGTGTGTCTCTGTGTGTCTGTGTGTGTCTGTGTGTGTCTCTGTGTGTGTGTGTCTGTGTGTGTGTCTCTGTGTGCCGGACGGGCAACTCTGTCGTGGACAGTGCTGTGGGGGGAGATCCAATTTTGAGTGGCTCCTCCCCTCATGGCATATGTGTCCACCACAGGGGCTAAACGGGGGCTCTGGACAGGTGCGAGGGGCTGGTAACCCCTCCACCTTCAATTAATTACCACGAAACCACGAATTAAACTGAAATATGTAACTAATAAGCTTGTGCCGGAGGCCCCGGGGGGCCAGGCGTCTATGACGTCTCCTGGCCAAACCCCAATTGGCGGAGCCAGGAGATTGAATACCTACCTTCGGGGCTACTCCAGAAACAATGAAAAGCCACTACGGGTGGCCACGTGGAATGTTCGAACGCTCACTGCAGATGAGAGGCTGCCACTCCTCTGTCGGAAGCTGGACCGGTACCGCCTGGATCTATATGGCATTCAGGAGGTCCGGTGGACCGGCTCTGGCTCCTGCCACCATGAGGGGTGGACAGTCCTCTACTCGGGGCAGCAGACTGCCAAACAACAGGGTGTGGGTCTTCTTTTGAACAAAAGAATGAAGGGGGCGTGGGAGCGTGGCGGTGAGGTGTGGGAAGCTGTAAGCCCCAGGCTACTTTGGGCTCGCCTTCCCATCAACCGGAGGCAAGGAATGGTGGTCGTGGTTACTTATGCCCCCACCGAAGATGAACATCCGTGGAGGGATGCAGGCAAAGCCGATGAGTCAGATGCCTTCTATGACATCCTGTCACAGGTGCTGGCTAAAGTGGCCCCTCGGGATAGAGTCATCATGTTGGGTGACTTCAATGCCCGAGTTGGTCATGATACTGGCACCTGGTCTGGAGTGATTGGAGGGCATGGGCCAGATCAGCTCAATAACAACGGTAGGAGGCTGCTAGATTTTTGTGCAGCCCATGGGCTTGTAATTACCAACACGCTGTTCCGGCATCGGCGCATCCACACAACATCATGGATGCATGCCGGGTCCAAGCAAGAACATCTGCTGGACTACATAGTGACGGACCAGCGAATGCGAGCCCATGTCCTTGACACCAGGACCTACCGTGGAGCTGATCTGCCCTCTGACCATCGACTAGTCATCTGTAAGATGCGCCTGCCATTCTTCCACTCCGGTGGTGGGTGTACACCCAGGACCCCATTCCAACATAAAGTGGCCTGGTCTCAGTTATCTGATGAAAGTTGCAAGCGAGAATTTCATCATCGCTTGCGGCTGGGATTGGCATCGTCCCCGACTCCTCCTGATGTCGAGGGTAAATGGGCGAGGTTTAGGACTGTGACTCATGCAGCTGCAATGGCTGCTTTGGGTACGCGGTCCAGACCTCCCCAGAGACCCTGGCTGACAGAGGAGGTGTTCAGGATGGTTGAGAAAAAGCGACAGGCCCACTATCATCGGCTACAGAATCCCACGTCAGAGAATGAGGAGGCTTACCGCAGCCTTCGCTCGGAGGTTCGGAGAGCCGTGAGGCGCTGCAAGGATGGGTGGTGGTCGCGGGTTGCTGAGGAGATGGAGTCTGCCTCAGTGGCCCGTGATCACAAATCTCTATTTAACTCCATCAAAAACGTAACCTGCAGCGCCACACCTATTACCATCATTAGGGGAAAAAACGGTGATCCAATCTCCGACCCCCAGGAACAGGTTCGCAGATTTGCTGAGCATTTCTGTGAGGTCCTGGGGGAGGGAAAATCCCTCAGCCAGGAAAACATCGTGGCACAAAGTGAGGATGACCCTGCTGAGGCTGCGGTGCCTCAAATATTGGAAGAAGTCACCCCCTGTGAGTGGCTGGCTGAGGTGCCATCTGCGATCCGGAGTCTGAGACCAGGAAAGGCAGCGGACAGAGATGATCTCCCAAGCGAAATGCTGAGGGAGGGTGGCGTTTGTGCACAGACTGCCCTATATGACATCATAACAACAGTCTGGACCACTGGACGGGTTCCGCAGGATTGGAAGGATGCCCTGGTGGTCCCCCTTTTTAAGAAGGGGGACCGCACAGACTGTAACAACTACAGGGCCATCTCACTCCTCAGTGTGCCGGGAAAGGTCCTGGCAAGGATTATTCAGCATCGCCTTGCCAGGCACGCTGAGGAGAGGCTTGCGGAGCCCCAATGCGGTTTCAGGAAAGGGCGGTCCTGCACAGATGCCATATTTTCTGTCCGTCTGCTACAGCAGAGGTGTAGGGAATTCCAACAAGACCTACATCTCTGCTTTATTGACCTGGTCAAGGCCTATGATACCATCAGTAGGCCTGGGCTCTGGGTCGTTCTTCGTGCTTTTGGAGTACCTGACCCTCTGCTCACGATCATTAAGGACCTTCATGATGGTGAGCGGGCCCGGGTAAAACTACGTGGCCGGGAGTCAGAGCCATTCCCTGTACACCTTGGGGTGCGACAGGGATGTCCTCTGGCTCCCACATTATTTAACATCTATTTTGACCACGTAGTTCATGAAGCCTTCAATAGCTGTACCGGGGGCATCTCCATATGGTACAGATATAATGGGAGGCTAATCGATGCCCGGGTGCGGTCAAGGGATGGCTCCCTATTGCTCAACCACGTTATGTATGCTGATGATTTGGTAATAGCTGCTCAGTCAGAGGAGGAGTTGGTGACGCTGCTGCTGAGACTGGAGCGTGCCACTAAGTGGTGTGGCCTTACCATCAGCCCCACCAAAACTAAGCACCTGCCTGGGTATTTTGTACCATCGGACACTCCACCCCCACAACTCCCAATCGGTGATGGGGCAGTTGTGGAGAGAGTGGAGAGTTTCCCATACCTGGGCAGTGTGCTTATGACTGGCTCCAGTTTAACAGCAGAGGTCTCACTCCGAATCAGTCGAGCGGCAATATCTTTTCATCGGTTGCGTAACGCTGTGTGGAAACTACCTGGTCTGTCGCTCCGCACTAAGCTTCAGATCTTCTCGGCCACGGTCATTCCCTCCCTTCTCTACGCTTGTGAAACGTGGACCCCACTAGTGGAACATCTTCGCCAGTTAGAAACATTTAGGCTGGCCTGCCTACGATCCATCCTGGGTTTAACCAGACTGGATTGTGTGAGGAGCTCACAAATCCTTGAAAGATCTGTGCAGGGTCCCATCGGTGAGCTCCTCTGGCAGGCAAGGCTGCGATGGCTGGGTCATGTAGCCCGCATGCCCAGCCACCGCATGCCGAAACAGCTTTTGTTTGGTCGGATTGAGGGGGCTAAGCGGGCGCGGCACGGGCTAGAGAAGAGATGGAGTGATGTGGTACAGGAGGACGTGGAGCTGAGTGGACTTGCCGATGACTGGTACCAGCGGTGTCAAGATCGGCCTCTGTGGAGGAGGCTCGTGAAGGATGCTACTGGGCAGTTGGAGGCAGTCGCCCTCCAACAACAACGGAGGGCGGAGGAGCGACGCTCAGAACAACGAGCGGAGCGCCGGGTGGCTAAAGCACAGCAGGTTGGCACAGTAGGGGCACAGGTGGTGCATCAGCCAGTCATCTCAGTCAGTCGACCCGTGGCACCTGGGTCTGCCCAGTGACCTCCTGCCAGCGGGCGTTCGACGCTTCACGTGGCCTCACGGTGCACATAGCCTGGCACAAGCGTCGTGGTGACGTCACCGCCACTTAGTGGCGAATGGCGGTTGTTGTTGTTGTTGCTGTGTGTGTATGTGTGTGTGTCTGTGTGTGTCTGTGTGTATGTGTGTATGTGTGTGTGTGTCTGTGTGTGTCTGTGTGTATGTGTGTGTGTGTCTGTGTGTGTGTCTGTCTCGTGGGGAGCGATAGTGTAGCGGTTAGCGCGCTGCGCTATGAACCTGGCGACCCGGGTTCAATTCCCCCTCACGGCCAACACCAGTGACCATTATCTGAACCGGTCCCGGGCCTCCCCTAGGTCGACTCAGCCTCAAATGAGTACCTGGTGCGGTGTGTAAACATTGCCACTAGGGAGACAAAGGCGGTCGGGCGTGGTGCTGGCCACCCACCCCCTCGTGTACCGTTCCGGCCTTCATAGGTGGTGCTGCTACTTGCTAACAACACTTGCCCCAACAGTCTGTTAAGGCTACACGGGGGATCTTTGTCTTTGTATCACCACCCAGGAGTCACGGAGCTTTTGAGGCTCCGAGCCACGTGGGAATCCACAACAGCGTGAGGCGGTGCCACTCACAGGTGAGACTCGGGGATATGTGATTTCTAATCGATAGCCATCCGTCGGTTAACCCATCGCAACTGCTGAGTCTGTCACGCGACTTCCTCCTTCCAGCGAGCCTTTGATGCTTCACGTGGCCTCAAAGTGTACACAGTGTGTACGTATACACAATAATGTCCACGTTGTTGTTGCTGAGTTCACGCACTCAAGGGAGGGGGCAATGGAAAATGAATCTGAATCAACTTAAACTCCATCCCCATGACCTCATGAAGTGCCAGCGGGAGGTGTACCTCGCTAGTGACGTCATGTCACCAAAGTATTCACACTCCCCCAACCCCCATCCACCGCGCCCTTGAGCGTGACGTCACCTCCGCTTGGGTCACTGCCGATATCAATCCAGTGCCAATCCTTATTTGGGCAAAGCTACGCCCAGTGACTGGCGGTACATTAACATAATGTTTTCGTCGAAACCGTCGAGAGTTTATTGCGACGGGTTCAGCAGCCACGCCCCATCCCTCGACATATGGGCCGGACTCATTAACATAATTTATTCAGTTACAGCCGCTCATTGTGGGAGGGGCGCGTCTCTTAACCCGGAAGTGACGTCATGTTACCAGCTTACCCGCGTGACGTCAGGAGGCTGCCGATCCACACTTGCACTGAAATCCGAGGTGAGAAATTCTCATGGTTGTGGTGGTGGTGGTTGTTGTTGTTTACCAAGGTAGAGCCTCTCTCTCTCAGGGATGTCAGTTGAGTAGCAGCGAGCATGGGAATCGATGTCCAGGTTGGAACTTTACAACGCGGGTTCTAGCCACGCGGGGCCTTGCCTCCTGCCCTCGCCTGATTGCATTCACTTTAATTATCTCGCTTAAGTTTAATTTGTCTTCACCCGGCTCGCCACTTTGTAACTTTGTTTTATTGTAAATATTCACGCAGTTTTTATTTTCATTTTTTTCACCAGGCCAAGTCCGCTTGAGCTGCTATACCGCTCTTGTTATCAGAAGCGACCTGCCCACAACAACACAAGGTGAGGCTTTGTCAACGTGTGTGAATGTTTTGACTTAAAACTTTGGTGACTGCAGGAATTAATATTCTTGGTTCTTTCGGTAAAGTCACGTAGATAGAAAATAAAATAAGAATAAAATTAAATGAATAATTGAAAATAAATAAAAAACCCACGAGGTTTTGATCGCAACACAAGTGGTCTTTATCTTATTAAATTTAATCTGTTATTTTTATTTTCTATCTACGTGACTTTACTGAAATAACCAACAATACGTGTGTCAATGTATCTATCGGTCAAAGACGCTAAGCGCGTGCCGCTGTTGACTCTGAATGTGTGGAGGGGAACACGTTCACCACGGGGAGAGAGACAGAGACACGGATAGCCTCGGCTATGTTGATTGATCCTCGATTCATTACTTGGTGGAGTGAGGAAGAATTGATGCTGAGCAGATGAAGGTAGCCAGGCATGGTTCTGGTCACACTGCCACCTGTTTACTCATGGCAGTGTTTGACAGTGTCAAGTTTGTGTTTGCAGTAAAGTCTATTAACTCTGTTGAACACGAGGTTATATCAAAACAATAGTTTATTTTAGTTTTCCTCTGGAACTTTATACGAATGGAAACAGGAGGTGAACACAGCACACACATTCAGCTGAAGTCGGAACTGTTCATCCCCGGCATTCAAGGACATATGAGCCTGGACTCACACCTGAGTTGCGATTGAACGTTAATTTATGCATTTCTGCACAACACAAATAGTATTGTTTTCAACACCCTGTGCTATGTCAGCTGAATTTAGCTTTCATAAATATTCATCTTGTAGTCAGACAGCCAAATTTGTGTGCTTAGAGTTTTGAGTTAACATTCATCTTGAAGATATGAAGGCTTCCAGGAATATTAATGACATTTTCCCTCTCATTGTGTGCCATAACAGCCCGTGGAGAGAAACCCTTCAGGTGCAGTGTGTGCGTGAAGGCGTTTGCACGTTCATCATATCTGATAAATTTGGGAAACTTTTTCACTACATCATGAATATATTAATAAGTATAGACGTGTAAGTCACGTGTGCATTCCTCTGTACCTGACGTGTAGATGGTGTGGATATTCTTTTTTTCTGTCTGCAGCTGACGATTCCTCTGCAGAATTGGTCTGATGGTGCAAAGGCACTCAGCGCAGCTCGGTACGACAAGTCAACAATGCGACCAGCGTGCAAACAGCACGGACCGGACTGGAAATTTGACACGGCACCAGAGAACTCGCACAGGAGAGAAACCCTTCAAATGTACTGTGTGTAACAAGGCATTTGCATGGCCATCAGTTTTTCAGAACCACCAGAGAACACGCACGGGAGAGAAACCCTTCAGGTGCACGATGTGCGGGATGGCGTTTACACAGTCATGTAATCTTGTAATACACCAGAGAACACACACGGGAGAGAAACCCTTCAAGTGCAGTGTGTGTGGGAAGACATTTTCAGATTCATCTGCTCTTGTAAAACACCAGAGAACACACACGGGAGAGAAACCCTTCAGGTGCAGTGTGTGTGGGATGGCGTTTACACAGTCATATAATCTCGTATTACACCAGAGAACACACACGGGAGAGAAACCCTTCAAGTGCAGTGCGTGCGTGAAGGCATTTGCACATTCATCAAATCTTCAAGTACACCAGAGAACACAGAAGCATCAGAAGATCCACAAGGAGTGGAGTCTGAAATCAGCTTGTGAAAGTCAAAGTGCCGCAATGAGCCCATCCCTCATGAAACAAGAACCGGACGAAAATCCCAGCTTAGACACTTTTAAGGTATAAAGGTGAAATATGAAGAGGTGAAGCTGAAATATGAAGAGGTGAAGGTGAAATGTGAAGAAGTGATGAGCGAAGAAGTGAAGGTAAAATGTGAAGATGAAGATTCAACTCCAAAATGGGACATTTACATCGTGAAGCAGGAGGAGAATTCTGACTGAGGCAGAGCGAGGCAACTCCCAGCAGTTTGTGGAAGTGGAGGTGTGGGTGGACTTGCTCCTAGACAATACAAAGTCAAGTGGAGACCCAGTAGATGTGTAAGCCAAAGACGATGTCGCTACAATAGATGCACCTTTGTCACAGGCCTTTAATGATTAGAACGTGAAGTTGAACACTCATTTCTTAGGTTCATCCTGCAGAGTAAGGGCGGCCAGTCTTTGTGGGCCCGTGGGTTGGGTAGATCTCTAACCAGGAGCAAGAGCCAATAAGCTCCCAAGCATTCATGGTGCTTGCTTAACCACCTCAGCAACTCGGAGTTTTGTGTCGTACCTCGTCTGAAACACTCGAAGAGCATCCCCAAGTAGCAGCTGCCCCTGTGTGGCACAAGGTGGTGGCCCTGCACCAGCCTGCATGTGGACAAGAGCCTGTCAGTAGGGGGCGATGATTGATGTGTCATCTCAGTTGTGTAGTTTGTAGGTAATGTTTAGAATTTGTTACATTTTCACTCAGACGCCAGCATGCAATGGCCTCGTTTTGAATGACACAATAGTATGTTTTACATACACTCTGAAGCAGACTGCACCTTTTTTTTCAAAGCTTGTTAATACGATGTAATGTTACGCAGTATATTTCACTGCAGTAATCCAATTTTGTTAATATGCCTGTCAATAATTTAGAATGTATACTTGTCTGGTTTTGTGCATACTTGTAACATTTGATCTGTAAGGGTCAAATATTGAATAAGTGATGTTAGGACAAAGTGTGTGTGTGTTTGGAAGTAACCTGTACAGAGAACTCAGGTGAGACCCGTTGTTCTTGTGATACAGGTCAAACGGTGTTTTTGTGTTCCACGAAGCATCTGGAGCAACTCATTGTCTTTGAAATAGGTAGTACGCTCGGATCATTCATCAGTTACAAGGTATACCACTTAAAGGTTACACGTATAGGAGGAGGTACATTCTCTACAACACAAATTGTAGTTTTGTGTTACGTGTTGACGTAGATTTTGTCTAACTGGGACTAGAAATGCTCCTTGCTGATTAACGTCTGGATGTTCGTTACCTATCGGTTGAAGCAAACCCCACTGCTGTTGTTGAGACGCTGTGCACCATTTAATGGTCCAACACATTGACGGCCTTCAGGCCAGGAAAGTCACAACATTTGCACACGAAGGACGCATTCACGCAAGTACCCCATGCTCCGTTTTGAAGTTTTAAAATGAAACATCTTTGAATTGTGTTGTGTTTTGAATTAGATAATTTGTATTTCTTCATTAAAAGCTTGTTTCAATTTACATCTGGAAGACTTCATTGAAAAGGACATTTCGTGTGAATTTTCTCTCGTCATTAAGTAGATGGCCTTGCCGGGGGTTCGGTTCAATGCGGACACAAACAGTGAACACAGACACAGTGTACACACACAATGTACACACACAGTTTATACACTGTACACACAATGTACAGACAGTGTACACAGACAGTGTACACACACACAGTGTACACAGTGTACACACAGTGTACACACACACTGTATACACAAAGTGTACACACACAGTGTACACACACAGTGTACACACAGTGTACACACACAGTGAACACACAGTGTCTGTACACAGTGTACACACACAGTGTATACACAGTGTACACACACGCACAGTGCACACACACAGTGTACACACACAGGGTACACACACACAGTGTACACACAGTGTACACACACACAGTGTACACACACTGTACACACTGTACAAACATACAGTGTACACACACACAGTGACACATACACACAGTGACACACACAGTGACACAGTGACACACAGCGACACAGTGACACACAGTGTACACACACAGTGTACACACACACAGTGTATACAAACAGTGTACACACAGTGTATACAAATAGTGTACACACAGTGTACACACACAGTGTACATACACAGTGTGCACACACAGTGTACACAAACTGTACACACAGTGTACACACACAATGTACACACACAGTGTACACACACACAGTGTACAAACACGCAGTGTACACACACAGTGTATACACACAGTGTACACACACGCAGTGTACACACAGTGTATACACAGTGTACACACACAGTGTACACACACACAGGGTATACACAGTGTACACACACACA